GATTCCTAGTGTTAGCTGTGTGGTCTTGGGAAACTTACTTCACCTCTCTGTGCCTCGGCTTCCCCATCTGTAAAATGAGCACAATGATAAATTGTTCTGGGGATTAAATGGGTTGATATATATGAAGTGCTCAGAACAGTACATAGTAAGTCAGTCTGGTACATAGTAAGCACTACATATGTTTTAATTATCATAATTTGCTGTTTCTGGGGTAGTGGTGAAATCAGGGAGGCAGGAAACCTAGATTTTAGTTCCAGTCCTGCACCTGGTGAACTCGCAAAAGTCACTTCACTTCTCTGCCGTCGATTTCCTTCTCTGGAAAATGAGAGAGCTGACTCTAGACCATCTGTCGAGCTCAGATGTGTTCAGATTGTGTACCTAAACTCCACTGTGAGATGTAAGAGCTCGAGAAGGCTTTCTGGCTTCAAGATAGTTTTGAGCTGCTGATCTCTCACAGATCTGTCAAGGCTTCCTTATTGATTCACGCCAGGAACGCTGCCTCTGTCTCAGTTTTTCTGCAGGGCAGTTGATCTGTTTTCTTTCCACCAAGACGTGTTCCTCTGTCAGCTGCGTCCGAGCTGTCACAAGCCAGCTTCATGGCAGGGAGAGTGGGAAAGACAGTGTTTTTATTTTTCTGCCTCACTGTGTCTTCCTTCCTTTGGGATCCCTTCTGAGAAAGGTCAAAACAAAATTCTGCAACTGCCATGATGAGAAATGCCAGCTGATTGAAGAAGAAGGCCCGTGTAAGTGACAGTGCCTGCCCCTGGGAGGCCCCAACTAGAGTCCTGTCAAGTCGGACTCATCCTCCAGCCGGGGGAGGTTCAGTGGTCACTCCTTTCTGCCCCAGCGAGAGAGCTCACTGCAAACATCTTGAATGGTGTGGTTGGCAGGTGGAAGGAGGGACAGTAGCTAACTAAAGCATGACGGGAAATCTAAGGGAGGGCAAAGAAGGAATGACATGTGGTTTTTGCTTAAGATTCTGTGACAAACCAGAATACTAGTACATCCTCTCTTGCTTTTTCTATATTCTGCTGTGGCTAAGGGAGGCAGGAAGAGTTACACCCCTTCCCCCTAGAGGAGGGGACTCCTACCCTCTGTCCCAGTGCAGGGGAGTATTAAAAAGGCTGCTTGCATTCCCTTTCTCCTATTTGCTTCAGCACCCTTTGCCTTTTTATTTGCTCTTCCCCAAAGGTAGAAGAGTGAGTATCCGAGAGTCAGACTCAGGCATTCCATGGCGATATTTACTACCTGGCAAACTTATGAGCCTTAACGACAGGGCCCCAGGAACCACCCTTCTTCCTCTTGCTATGTCCAGACCCAGCAAGCTTGCTTCTTTTTCTTTCTCCAGGTAATAAATGTGTGAGTGTCAGGGTCAGTAAGGAGGGACTGGCAAACAGAGAGAAAAACACCTGATTGTAAGTAACTGCAGATCAATTCAATGATGTGAGGTTCCTTTTTCCAAATGACTGAATCATTGATTGGTTCCACTGTCCATTGGAATCAACGAGGTAGAACTTCATCTTGCCTTGAATTAAAAAGAGGTTCTCAGTACTCCTACCAAAGCTACATTGCATTGCTTAGCATTTCAACCAGAATGAGCTAAGCCTTTCATTGACTTTATTTTGCAGCTGGAACTACTCTTAGCATCTCCAAGTTAGAAAAAAGTTCAAAGAACATCCCAGCCAATCCTCTGTAGCATTCTCTGCTTGGCTGCTACACTTTTGCATGTAGTCCTGCAGTTTCTACTTGAACATTTCCAATAATAAAACACTTACTCTTTCACAGATTATTTTGGTTTTGGACAGGTGTAATTATTGGGAAATACTTTCTTTGTTACTTCTGTTACCACCAAAGGACATGATCTGCTCACTGTGAGACAAAAGCCAATCATGGAGAGGCAAGATGGTGGAAAAGAAAGGGCAGTTTATTACAGCTTGCTAGCAAGAGGGAAGATGGCCGACTAATGTCCAAAAGAACCATCTTAAAGGGGTACAAAATCTTACAGCAGTTATATAGGCCGATGGGTTATAGGGGAGGGGGTTAGGAATGTTGACTCTCTGGTGTTCGGACTGGGAGTCACCACAGCAGATCTTTCAGTTGTCATTGATGATGGCTATCAGCATAGACTCTCTGTTTGAGGGTCATCATATTCCTAAGGAACTCAAAAGAACAAAGTTATCATCTTATCGCAGCTGGAAGGTACAGTCACAAGCAGGGGTCATAAAATCTACACAGCAGTTAGGTCTCCTGGAGGGTGCATATCCAGCTGGCTTAGTTAGTCAGAGGTCATTCAAAGTTACAATAGGGTTTCTTTTCTACAATATGGCTTCCCTTATGTCAACCTTGTCTTGAGCCAGTATCAGTTCTTTGCAACTTCCTCTCAAAACTCTTTTTTTTCCTGTTTTGAAGTCAGACAAAGTAAATTGAAATACCTTTTGCTATGAAAGACGTTAAGTCCTTACATGGTTCTTAGACTGGGTTATGCTGTAGTAATCTCAGTGGCTGAAAATAACAGTGGTTTATTCATTGTATACACATATGTCCATCCTGGGTCATCTGGGGACTCAGCTATGCATTGCCCTCACTTAGGGACTCAGGTTAACAGAACAGCTACTATTACTTTCAGCATCTACCAATTGAGTAAACATATAATGACCAAAAAGTTAGTGTAAATTGAGTAATGCTTTTAACTGAATTTTAATTGTAATTCTCCAACTTTCTGGGGTCAAACTTTCTTTTAAAATCTAAGTACGATATCTTGAATTCTAATTCCATGTAGCTACAGAAGTCGACCACCCTCTCCAGTATTTCTATGGAGCTCCACTCCTAGGGTTCATCTGTCAAGCTCTTCCTCCACAGTCCTGCTCCCATCCAGTTCTGAATCATCATGGACCATCTCACACTGCTCTCTGGTCTGCTTGTCCCAAAACGTGGACACGACCCCTCTCCTTTCTTCTCCAAGTCACCACCAGCATAATGCTGTTATAGGTAGCAGATTTACTGGAGTCTCAGGGATAATGAGAGAGGCAGGAGTAGAGAGCGGACATGGAGAGGAGAGATATGTAAATAAATTGACCTTGAGAATTAGACCTCAGAGTTTCCCAAGTTCCTTACCTGTGTCTTACCTCCTCCCACACCCATGCTGGGCCCACCTTCAACCCTTTGATGAATCCTGCCCTAATTTCCTCTCAACTCACATCCCAGCCCCACTTCTGTGTCTCTAATTACAAAGGGAAAACCCGGCTTGACCATTGCTTTATTCAGCAGAGCACTTTAGCTCCCTTTGCCTTAACCTCTTTCATTCTGATTTATTCTAATACATTTTCCTTCATAACCAAAGGGCTTATTAATATGTTTTCCAAGCAAAAGAATTACCAAAGCCTCCCCATTTAAAGGGAGAGCAACAACTGAGAAATTAGTTTTTCTTTAAGATGCCTCAAAAAAAAAAATACCTTAGCAAATGCTCTTCATTCCAACCAACCTCGTATTGGAGAAACTTTAAAATACCATGAGCATGAATCATAAAGGGTGAATTTGGCGATATTGAGGAAGTCAGATCATGAAAGACCTTGGAAGACCCATTAGCCTATATACATTTTGATTCTAAGCAGGAAGTGAGCATAAGCAGTGGATTATGGGGGTGGGGGAGCATGAGGGAGGCAAGGAGACCATCGAGGAGGCTGTTAGAGGGATGCAGGTGAGAAAGGGTGGTGGGAATGGGGAGAAGTGCTGAAGTTAGGCCATATTTAAGAGACAGAATGGACAGGAGTTGATGTGAGAGAGTGAGGGGAGAGAGGAAGATCAGGAATGATGTCTAGTTTTCTCTCTGCAGCAACTGGATGAGTGTTGGTACGATTTACAATGACAGAAAGTAAATGAGTAGGAATAAATTTAGGGGGAAAATTTATGTTTTATTTTGGACATATTTTATTTTAGGTCTGTTGGGCATCCCACAGGATCAAAGCATAGATTTACGAGTCAGGTTTTTCAGGCAGGACTGACCACTGGACTCTGCATCCTGAGGAAGGACCAGGCTGCCTCTTTGAACCCTAATATTCCAGGGAAAATCTCTGAGGAAAAGGTCGCCTTTGCTGCCTTGATCTTATTTGAGGTCTGGGGCTTCCTTACAGCAAATCACTTGCTTAAGATATAGAAGTGATATCTAAAGAGCTCAAGACCCTCGTCCAACCTCCACCCTAGACATAAATGGGGAACTCCCTCTTCGTCTAAGGACGTGAGACCAAGCAGAGGAATGGCTGCTGATTGAATCTGAGTCACTCTACAAAGCATTGCTTGGGAGATCAGAACTTAGCCTTAACATTGTTAGAGGGAGCCCTCTTGTTAGAAGTGAACGGTCACATCTTACGTGTGATGGATGCCTGATATTTACCAGTGTGACTTATCTGTCACCATTTTCCACCCATTTTTCATGTGGATACAAAGATCTCACTTTTTTGCCTTCTTAGTCATTTTTGTTAGCATTGCTCTTTTGCCTTCAGGAAAAAAAAGAAAAAAGAAATGTGATTAATATGATCCCATTCAAATCATTAAACATAAGCTGCCATTGTGGAAGCTACAGGCAAGGACTCAGGCATCTGATTCTAGCTGTAAACCAGGGAGGCTCTCTGCTATGGGGAAAAGAGCACTGGATATGGAGTCAGGACACTTGCCTTCAAATCCTAGGCTTTCATTCGCTAGATGGTCCCTTTGATGAGTCACTTATCTCCTTCTAGTCTTACTGGCCTTATCTGAAAAATGAGCAAATTATTAGTCATAGCTGCCTCTCAGGGTTTCTTGGAGATCATGGCAAAAAGGCTAAGTAAAGCCAGTAGAAACCAAAGGCGTGCCACATCCCACAAGCTGCAATCCTAGACGGCCAGGCTTTTGTTCCAGACCAATCACCTTTCATTGACTCTTCCTTCTAAAGTTCACACTGGCTTCAGCTGCTGTGGATGCATTCTTAATTAAAAAAAAAAAAAAAAACTTGTTTTCTCTTGCAGTGCATAGTATGGGACTGGGACTCTAATGGCAAACACGACTTCATTGGAGAATTCACCTCAACATTCAAGGAGATGAGAGGAGCAATGGAAGGGAAACAGGTATGTAGAATTTCCCCAGACACTTCTCTCATGATGCATCCTTAGATGAGAAGGGAGTTTGGTGGAATCTGAGTACCTAGATTCTAGTACTAGCCCAACCCAAAGCAATTGGACAAGACACTGCCCCAGTGTAGTGCAGTTTCTCCATCAGTAAAATGGAGAGGCTAAATGAGAATATTTTTAATTTTCTTTAGCTGTGTAGCCTTGGACACGTGCCTCAGTTTTCTCAACTGAAAAATGAAGGTGTTAATTGTACCTGCCTAACAGAACTTTGTGAATGTTAAAGGAGATAATCCACGGTATGCACTTAGCAGAGTGCCTAGCATGTAGTTAGCACTTCCCAAATATCTGCTACTGGTATTAATGTTCTTTCCAGCTCCACATTTCCAGGACTCGGTGATGTTAATTGCACATCTAATGCTTTGGAGAAATTATTTGATTCCTCCAAATTTTCACTATGGGTACCAGATTTTCATCCAGTTCCCCCGTTTCACTCTTACACACTTGATACCAAGACATGTACCCAAATACGACCACATACCACAGAGACACATAGGGATTTCATTGCACCACACAGAAACCTAAACCTCCTCTGTGTTTCTCTCAGGCACACATACTTTCATAATCAATTTGTTAGTGAGTGGTTGTCATCTGGACCCTAGCCATGTCACTTCTGCTCTTACTTGTTCACTGTTCACCTGCCCAACTTCCAGCTTCAGAACCTGAATCTCTTTGCCCAAGGGCTTTTTCTGGCTGCTGGAGCCTGTTCTACCCATGCCCACAGTGGGCTGGAAGTGGGTGGGGAGATTTAACACCTTCCAGGGGGCAGCCCTCAACAGATAACTAATGGGAGTTGGGGTATAAATACCCCAGCTCTCTTGCCCTTCAGGTGGAAAAACTTGAGTGTGTGTTCTATGCAGTTTCGCAGAGTTCCCCAGCAGGGATAAGCCCTGGTGGCCCACAGTGGTAATTGACTTGACAATGTACCCCTTTTTGGTGGCTTCCCCATCTCAATTCCCCACTCCTCTACTGGTGCTTCCTGATGAACTACTTACACTTAAATCCTTGCCTCAGGGTTTGCTTCTGGGGGGACTCAAACCAGGATACTACCATTCTTACTCTGGGGCCCACTGTCCCTGTGGGGCAGAAAAGAGTGACAGCAGAGTGTTCAGTGGCTTTGAGAAAGATCTTTTCCATTAGAGATAAGACGCTGTGCCTGGCCTGGTCAGAAGTGCTGATTAGAGAAGATGTCCTGGGTTATTTTTCACATCTCTTCTTTTAGATGTAAGGTCAAGATGTAGCCAGACTAGATGGAAATAAACTAACATTCTTTAGAATTAGAAGCTTAATCTGAACCAGACTGTTCATTGAATACATACCTTTGAATGCATACCTTTCAAAAGCAGCTTTCTGCATAGCTCCCTCAAAACCTACTATATGTTCCATTATACACCCAGCATCGCAAGAAACTTGTCAATCACACAGAGACTGTCACCCACGAGTAGGCATGCATAATTTTAATTTCCACAATTAAAGCCAACACTAAACTATAAGTAAAATCACTCCCAAGATAACAAGGAATATAGCCAGAGAAGTTGTTGCTCCATTGAATATACAGGCCCAGGCCCTATTGAGCTAATAAATCAATGACAGTTATTGATACCACCACGAGAGTTCTAAAGAGTTTTACAAAGTTTTGCCTTGCTCTCCTCTACAAATAGAAAGAGCCAAATCAATAAACATGGGAAATATTTCCTCTTTAGGCTCCTAAGAGGATATAAAAGTAAGATGATAACATATATCATAATTGAAGAAGGCCATAGGCTGATGCTTTCAAATAAACAGAAGTGAATCTTTCAGTTCTACTGAGGAAGTGGACCAGAAGCTACTGTACTCTTCTGTAACTGAGATGCCAGAAACATTTTGGTTCAACCACTCAGCCCCTGTTTTGGCACATATGCACTGTGGGAACTGTTCTCTTATTTATTGATGCTACTAGCATATATTGAGGAGCACCTATTAAGTGCCAGGCATTGTGCCAGATGCCAGGTAAGCCATGACTCTGTGTCAGAGTAAAATATAAACACGAATCAAGTAAACAAAAAATAAAAATTCAATTACAGCTTGTGACAAATGCTATTAAAAAATGAACCAATTAAGTTATAAAGGTGTAGTATAGAAGAGATCATCTGAAATGGTGACATTTAAGTTGAGGGCCCTTAAAGATAAAAAGAAACCAACCATGTAACAACTAAGGGAAAAGCATTTCAGGCAGAGGAAATAGCATTGCAAAGTACTGAGTCAGGAAAGTGCTTGGTGTGATTAAGGATCTTGCAAGAGACTGGTGTATCTGGAACAGAGGGAGCCATTCATGAGATGTGGTCAAAGACAGAGGCAGAGGCCAGGAAAAGTGGATTCTGATAGCTCAGAGGAAAGAGTTTGGATTTTCTTCTAAATATGATGAGAGCACACTAAAGCTGTGTTCTCCAAGACAGCAGACACTAGCTACATGTGACTATTTCTATTTCAATTTCATTAAATTAAAATTTCAATTCCTCAGTCACATTAGCCACATTTCAAGTGCTCAGTAGCTTCATGTGGCTAGTGCCTTCCATATTGGTTGATGCAGGTGTAGACTATTTCCATCATTGCAGAAAGTTCTGTTGGACAGTGCTGCAAAGGGATCTAGGCTAGAGAATTACAAGATTGGTTTTAATTTTTTAAAAGATTATTTTAGCTACTATATACGTAATCAATTATAGAGAGTCAAGAGAGTGAGGCAGGGAAATCTGTTAGGAGGTCACTACAATGGGCAAGACAAGAGGTGATAATGACTTGAACTAAAAAGGTGATAATGGAGATGGAGAGAAGTGGAGAGATATAAGATATATTTTGGAGATAGGAGCTACAAGGTTTGTTGAGGAATTGGATATGATGAGGAAAGGGAGGGAGGAAACAGATGACTCAAGTAGGATGGATAACTGTTGGTGCCATTTCCTGAGAAGAGGATGTCTTGTGTCAGGGAGATCCATTTTGTGGGGAAGGTTCGAGAATCAGGTTTGGGAAACTGACACTCAGAGGAGAGGCTTGCCTGAGATATATTTTAGGAGCAATCAACAAAGAGGGTATTTAAAGTCAAGAGAATGGGTGAGTACTCTTAGGGAGAGGGGATAGAAAAGAGGATAGAGGAGGCTTGAACCCTCAGGAACCTCAGTATGTAGAATCGGAGAGAAAAAGAGAATACGTCATCTTTCAAACTCCTTCCTGTGTGAGTCATGGTTCTGCAGGTACCAGGTAAATTCTTGATTAATGTTGATTTATTCTTGAGTAGCCTTCATGAACTTCCTAAGTTTCAGGTGGTGAAAAGGGAAACTTGCAAGAACAAATAGGAGAGCCCTCCAAGACCCTCTTCAGGGGAAGCATTGTGGTTAATAGGCCAGGCTTTGAGGTGAGACTGATGTGATGTGAATCCAAGCTCTACCAGTCACCACCTGTATGACCTGAGCCTCTCTTCTCTGAGCTTCATCTTTCATCTGTAAAAATGGGTTGTGGGGAGTGTTAAATGGGATTGTGGATGTAAGCACATAGCCCATAGTTACATGACAACTTTATCCCAGGACAGATGCAGAATATGTGGCCTGGGTCATCAGCACCCTCTTCCCACCCAACAGGCACGAAGGCCTCAAGTTCCTGCAGGTTTTGATTCAGCTTCCTTGGAACCCTTGTCTGGCTGAGCCAACCCATCCTCCGCTACTGGCCCATCTTAGCCAGAGATGGAAATGAGGAGACTCTTCACGGATGATCATTATAATTCTTAATAGAACTTGGAATCTAACTTATTCAAAGTTTCATTTGTTATGTCCTGCTTGATTTAAGAACTTGAGGTTAATAGCAGTTATTGAAAATGACAAAAGAATCAGCACAGATAGTTTTAGCATCTTTTCATTCCAATTTTTAGGCAAATCCCTAAGCTACTTGTTTATACTGTAATATCAGAGGAAGCTTTAGGGGAAAGCGCAATTTCAGTTTTCATGGGTTTGGGAGGGACTTGGGATGCTTTGTCTGAAAATAATAAACCTACTTTGAGACAGGCTAGAATTCTCTATTATCAAGCACTACCCACATGGAGAGCAAATTAGAAGAAAACCTCAGAGGAAAAGATAGACAACCATCATGACGGTAGAAAGATTAGGCTTTAAAAAAAAAAAAACAGGGCTGGGGATCTCCTGATTTCAGATTCAATTTTGACTCTTTTCTTCTTTTTTCCTTCCTTCCTTCCTGCCCTCCTTCCTTCCTTTCTTTCCTTTTATGGAAGGAGTCCTAGAGGTCCCTTAACCAGTACAGGATTCCTCTCTTCCAAACTCTTATGTGACTATCCAGTCCCTACTAGAACTTCCCCAGTGATGATAAACTACTGTATCTGTTATCTGTTGCTGAGTAACAAATTACCTCAGAACTTCCTGGCTGAAAACATCATTACTCACAATTCTCTGAGTTGACAGTTTAGGCTGAGTTCACCAGGGACAGCTTCTCTGCTCCACATGGTGCCACCTGAACTCATTCAAGCATTTATGCCTCAGCAGCTGAGATAGCTGGGACATTTCTCTGTGTGCTCTTTCATTCTCCAGGAGCCAGCCAAGCTTTTTTACACAGTGGTGAAAACTTCCCAGAAGCAAGAGGCGGGCAGGCCCCAATGCATAGGTACTTTTCAAGCCTTTGCTTGTATCACTTCTGCTGATGTCTCATTGGCCAAAACAAGTCACATGAATAAGCTTAGAGTCATTTGTGGGAGGGAACTACACAAATGCATGGACATTGAGAGGAATGGGTCATTGGGGTCCACTCTGTCTCAGTCTACCCCACTCACATCTGCCTCACAAACTGCTTTGTTTTCAGACACTTCTAATCATCAGAGAGTGAAAATTTATCTCCTGAGTGGAAATCCAAGGATCCAGCTCCCATAGGATGGTGGGCAGGAACATTCAATGACTAATGGATGTTTAACTTAGAGTTGATTTTGTCCCATGACGTCTTCTGTAGGCTGGAAAGATTGAGATCTGTTCCCCTAGATAGATAGATAACCCCTTAGCTCCCAGCTACCTCCTCAGTTTTCTGCTACTCCTGCAGCTCTGATACTATCCTTCAAAGAAGCCCCTTTGGAGATCTATTGTGCCACTGTGTGACATGTATCAAACCATTCTTTTAGTTCCCAAGTTCTGTGTAAACTCATCATTATCCCCACTAACTTCCCATAACCAGTATTCAACAGTCCTCAGTTGTCCTGGCTTTTAAGTCAATTTCCAGGCACTAAGACTCAGCCCTTGGGTCACTCAACTGTGTGTCTGCAGATCTCTCCTTCCCTCTGCTGCTTGATTTGACCCTTTTAATAGTAACATTTATAAGCTCCAGGCAGTGTTCCAAATGTATTACATGGGTTAATTATTCAATCCTCACAATAATCCTATGAGATACACACAATTATAATCTCCATTTAATAAAGAAGATGTCCAAGGCATAGAGGAATCCAGTAATTTGCCAAAGGTCACACCACTGGGAAGCGGAGGAACTGGGATTCAAACTAGGCAGTCTCATAGCAGAGCCTCATTCTCAACCACTCCTCCTTACTGCCCCTCGAGATGCAAGGGTTACCACCTAAAGACCATTTATCAACCCTCAGGTCCAACTGCAGCAGTGCCCAGGGGCTTGGCCTCATTGAATGACCCCATTTCTTCTTGAGCAGACTCTCATGCTATAACCCTTCTTGTTGCAGGTGCAGTGGGAGTGCATCAACCCCAAGTACAAAGCCAAGAAGAAGAATTACAAGAACTCAGGCATTGTGATTTTGAATCAGTGCAAGGTATGTACATAGCCCCTCTCTTCCAGGAGTATGAAACTAGGGATGTCTGAGAGGAAGAGTTCAGGTTGTGTGGTCAGAGGGAGAGACTGTCAAAGAGATGTGATCTTTTTTAAAATAAAAATCAGAATGTCAATGTATGAATGGATATACAAGGAGATATGTAAGCATGGGTGGTCTTAAAGCTGTAGTGGCCCAATGCCACCATCTCCTCCACAAGGACAGTCTTGCCCCCAAAGATAGGAGAGTTCTGGTCACAGGTGAGTCTCTTCTCTGCCCAGGGCCGCACCAGAGGGAGATCCCCAGAGGAGGAAACCAACACTTCTAGAGCATCTACGATGTGCCTGTCACAGTGTTCAGTGATTTGTATGTGGCACCGCACCCATGCTGAAAGGGTACCATGAAAACAAGACAATGTGGGAAGATTAAAAATTAACCTCTTAAATCACATTTGAGAATAATTCTACCACTGGCTGAGTACTTACTATTGAGAGAAACTGTAATAAACTCTATTTAATTCTTATCAAACCCCTGACGTTTCTACTTTCAAATGAGATAATGTAACCAACTCAAAGTTGCACAAGTGGTAAGTTTAAGAGCTGAGATTTTCACTGATGTCTGTCTGACTCCACCATATAGGACTTAAATGCCATCCAGTTTCTCTATACATATGTCAGGTTCCTCCTCCCAGATTGGCCTCTCTATGGCTGCCAAGAGCTGTAGGAACACATCCTTACATAACAAGAGAGTAAAGGAAAAGACTGATTGGTCTGGTTTGGGTCACATGCCAACCCCTTGAACCAATCACTGGGACTAAGGGATGATGTATTATGATTGGCCATCTGGGGTCATTGTATTAATCATGTCTTTTATTTTCTATATTTTATGATGCTCTGACATCTGCCCCTTCCAGGGTTAGCTAATTCCTAGAGATAGCAAACAACTTGCCTGCAAGCCTGCCTTTGATATGTGGACCAACCAATCCAGAGCCTGTGCTCCCAACCACCTCCTTTATTCTCACACACTCAGCCAATATTCCCGCTGCCCTGTATCACCCCAAAGCCAGGCTTCAGACAATTAGAGACCACCGCTATATCCCAGAGCCTGCCAAAATTATTCAAACTATCCAGTCCTGAACCTGCTTAGCTGCTTGCCTGCCTCACTCATTCCTTCCCCCAAAAAACCACAAGAAAGACTTTTTTGCCCACTCTTTCCTCTCACTCCTTCTGCCTCCTGACTGACCCTCGTGCTTCCCCGTGTGGCCCCCTGCATGGTGTGACATTCCTCCTATCCTTCAGGGAACTGTGAGTAATAAACTCTTCTTTCAAAGGCAGTTGTCTCTGGTCTTCTTATCTACCTATGCAAATCAAATCCCAGGTACATTCAACAGAGTCATGTGACCATCCCTGAGAGGCAGGAGAAAAGATCTAGATGAACCAATTTGATGGTTGTCTATCTCCTGAAGGTGACTGTGCATATATCTGCTTTGATCCTCCACAAGTTGGTCTTACAGGTCAGCGTTCAGAGGCCAGTGTTATTAAACTCATTTCCAAGTTCTCAATTTCTTGATACACAGACAATAGTATGTGTCCCAACTCTCAGGAAAAGCATTGCCATAAGGAAGCCAGGAACAGGCACTATTCAGAGGGCCAAGTGAGCATCAGCTCTGAGAAAAGTCTGCCAATGATGTGTGTCACCTGGAGGTGGTACCTAGGGACACCAACACAGGATTTTGTGGGTCAGTCTCTGAGAAGTTGCCCTGAGCATCAGATGGAATCTGACAAGTGAGGGTCAAAAATCACAGTTAGTGTTTGTCCAGGTAAAAAGATCAAAACAGCTCTATGACTGCAAGTACCATGTCTGTTTTCTCATCACTATATCCCTAGCATCTAGTGCAGAGTGGGGGCTCAATAAGTCCTTGTTAAATAAATGCATAGATGAATATCACCAAGGGTCAAGCAGTAAATCATAAAGAGGCAGAAATTAAGACCAGAAACCAGTAAGGCACATGAGAACACAGGCTATGGTGGTTGGGCAGAAAGCAGGGACCATGCCGACTTCCAACATAGAGGTTGAAAGGGTGGACTATGCAGTCCAGACTGCCACCGTTCGACTCCCACCTCCACCATCTGCTAGATAAGTGAGCTTAGCCTCAGCTTCCTCATCTATAAAATGGGCACAATAATAAAAATAGTACCACTTTCATAGGGTTGTTCTAAGAATTAAATGAAATAACGGATGTTAAGTGCCTGGAATACGGTAAGTGCTCCATAAATGTTAGTCATTGTTGTTCATGGCATGGGAGGGATCTACCTAACTGAACACTCACTGTAAAGGCCTTCTCAGGCAATTGTGCTTTTGATGCTGCCAATCAAGATTACTTGTGGTTTTAAGAATGTTTCCAGGACTGGGCCTTAGACACGGGGAGCAAGACTGAAGCCAAGTATGAGACTTTATTGATTTCAAAACAGTGGTGACCCTTGAAAATATAGTGTTAGTCTCACCCCAGAGGCAGAGGCTGATTAAAATCATGCATAAACCAAAAGAGAGGGGAGTAGGGGCAATATTTGCAGCCCTCACAGGCCGTCTGAATTGAGCATGCTTTCTTTCTCTCCCTTCACGAAACAAAATCAACTGACCCATCTTTTACCAAAGACCTCTCCCTGCTCTTTCCTCTAGTTAGGCAGCCTAACCCCAAAGTTTAGGCCTTCAATCTGTATGGAAACAAATCATGCTGTTACTAAAACCATTTCCTCTCCTCCTCCTATGCAGATCCACAAGATGCATTCTTTCTTGGATTACATCATGGGTGGCTGCCAAATCCAGTTTACAGTAAGTTGTTTCCACGTTTGTTCTTATTCAGGGAGCAAGGTGTGGGGAATGGTGCTGGGTTGGGGGCACAAAGAGACAAAAGTCTATTAAAACCCTGGGTCAGCTTTGTTTAAGTCTCATCAATGAAATATTATATGATATCGTGTTTTTAAAATGAGTTCATACTTATGTTTTCTCCAGTGGGTATGGTTGTTGGCATCATATCAGGAAACTCATGCCACTCAACCGCAGGTGGTTTGGAGAACCATCCAACTGCTTCCCATTTTTTCAGTAACTATATGAAGCATGAGGCAGTGAGCAGATTGCCAGGTCCCATCACCTGGTGAGAGGGATGAGAAGAAGTGAACCATGCTAGCAAGTCCCACTGGGCCAAGGCACATGCCTTGGTGGTATTCATGTGGCCAGAACACAAGCCCCAATGTCATGCTCAATGGTCAGTGCCAAGAATAAGCCATCCAAATGCTTCATCAGGCAATGAAAATGAGTTCCAAAAGACTAGACAACCAGGCTGAAATCCAGATTGAGAAATAGAGTGAGTGTCTAGACTCGGTGTGTGGATTTAGGATCATCTCCCAGATGTAATCTGTGAGCCCCTGGGATTTACACACTCCTAGTATGTGTTTGGGTGGGTGGGCTGGGTCTTTTTAAAGTGCACAGGTAGACCAAGGTTGTGAGTCCATCTGCCCTGAACAACTTTCTTTCAGTGGCTTAATATTCAAAATTCTCCTAGGTGCCCTCCAGGAAGAGAATCCCCAGATGGCAAGAGATAGACCTGATAAAACCTATGGGAAAGCAACATGGATGCAAACAAGAGAAACATAATCTGTGCAGTATTTGTTCCTCATCTTCCAGAAATGTACTCAAGACGCTCAGGCCTGTTTAGCTCCCCAAACTGGCCCAGTCATGTGAGAAAGGCAAGGAAAATGGGTTTAATTTTTTTGCCTAGGTTTGAGCCTAAGAGAGTATTCTTGGACCAGGAGTGGTGATACTAAAGGACTAAAAGGGGGAGTCCCAAAAGGATGAGATAAAGGGTTGTTTAATAGGCCAACCTCTCCTTAGCTAGAGGCTTGTCCTCTGCTCTCATCTCAGAGGGGTCTACCTATGTCCCTCCTAAACTCAGGGCATTGTTCATTTACTCCTGAATTTTTATGAGTTAATTATAGAATTTGGTCATTTCTTTAAAGTCTAAGGTTCTGTAAAGACTCACCCACCCAGCCCTCCTCCATGCACACTGGCACATAAAGAAGGTAGCAAACATGCTCATTGAGAGCACACACACCTAACTCTAGCTGTCCTATGGGCTCACTGTTCCTCTGGGTGAATGCAAATGGAAGTAGAGAAGCCAGCAATGTCATAAAGGAGAGCTACTGGAAATAGTGTCCCAAGATCTTAGGCAAAGGAGTGATTTCAGGAAACTATTTATAGGTTTTCAAGGGAAAGCTCTATTGATTCGGGTCTGTTTTAGATTCTATAGATCACATGCTCTTGAACAACTCTTTATTCAACCTTCAAGGGCTTTCTTTGCCCTTGGAGTTGTGCTGCAAAGAATCAACCCCCATGAAAACTACAAGTGTAACCCCACAGGGATCCCAGCTCCACATCCTGACTCACAGAGGCCCGTGTGGCCTGCCCGACAGACGGATTGCCCTCTCAACTTTGTTCTCCCCTCTTTTCTCACTTTTGCTGACCCTCCCCAACTGGGAGGTACCACCTTAGTGGTTCTCATCACCACCTCCCCAGTCCCAGCTTCTCAGCCTCTCCAGTGTCAACTGGTGGACCTATGGTGGGTGTGATGGGGCAGAGCAGTCTGGAGCAAGGATTGAAAAGAGGAGAATGAGATAAATGCTGAGGGGAAAGGGACGGGCCATCAGTAGTGCCTGCCACAAAACCCCTCCTCCTGTAAGGCTTTAGGCTGGGGACGCAGAAGAAGGTTGCTAGGTGTTCTATTTTGAGCTTTCTATTAAAGAACTCATACCAGTCACTTCAATATCATTTTCCTCCAAAATTAAGTCAGCTTTCTCGTTATTAATTTCTTATTGCTCAAGCAGTGCAATCTAATGTAAATTATAAGCTCTAATGCAAACTGTTAATAAAAATTAACCTATCTTATTTAATTTGGCCTATAAGTGTTTATTATCTGCCCAGTAATTTTATTGAAACCATCTGGCAACATGAAAGGAAAGTAACAGAGGAATGAGAACTCAGGAGAAGAGAGCTTCCTGGCATGGAGATAGATAGAGCAGAGAGAGAGGGAAAAAAAAGGTGGCAGTAATTCCACCTTTGAGCTAGAGAAGCAAAAACTCCCATTGGCACATAAGATGACCCATGGCTCCTGAGCAAGGCTAGCAGCTTAGCCAAGATGGACTTTCTGTCTCCCTGGAGACAGACCTTCAGGAGACAGCAGTGAAATTAAGTTCTGGATGTTTCCTCCACTTTTCACCCTCCCTACCTCTCCCCTCTATGCTCCAGGAGGCCAACCTTTGTGAATGCACTAGCCAGGCTCTCCTAATCGTGGATTTGGGTCAGGTTTGACCGGTGGGAAGCACCAACCAGAGATCAAAGAATGGGAGGAGAGAGAAGTCGGGGCATTTATTCCCTCAGCTCTCTACCTGCCAGGCTGTGGTTTGGCAGTGACCATGCCCCTCTACAGAAGGCCACAGTTCCTGTCAGGTGCCCTGTCCTGCAGATGGTACTCTTACTAAGTTCTGATAACTGCTCCTCTCTACCCTTTTTAGTCTTCCTTAACCTTTTTGAATTGTCCTTTTACTAAACTCTCCTCAATCATCTCTTTTGAGTGGACCATTTGCTTCCTTTCAAGACTCTGACCAATACACATTACAAACAAAGGTGAGGAGAAAGCTTTTGCACCTTCCACAGGTGCCTGGTGCTTCTGGTTCAACCTTAAGAATGTCAGAAGTGGAGCATCTTTCCCCTCAGGTGCTAGGCTGATATATGTTAGGTGCTCCAAATACTTTTGTTGAATTACAATGGGTTGAACCCTAAACTTTCAAGGGGAGGTAAGGTTTAGGGAAAAGAGGAAATTGGATGAATACATATGATACTAGGTTTTTGCTTTGAAAAGCACTCCTATGAACTTTTAAATGTTTATGCATCCATACATTCTAATGATAGATACCGAAACCTTGCTTGGCTTAATATGAGTAAACAGGATATATTTAGCGGAGTGTTTGGGAAATAGTTTGGATTAAGAACTTGAAGCTTTGAATTTTGAGGTAATTTGATGGATAAGGGAATGTTCAAAAGAATCTTGAGCAAGACATTGAAGCAATCAGGCACATGCTTTAGGCAAGTAAATCGGGCAGTGTTTGGTGAAGGTACTGATGGTGGTGAGGGGACTCGGACAGGTGAAGCAAGAAGAGATTAAAGCCCACTGCAACAGTCCTGGTGACAGGTAGTAAGAGGCTAAGCTAGCGGGGCAGCAGTAGGAAGAGGCATGGTGGAAAGGGAGCCAGTAAGCCTTAGCCTACACTCCAATGAGGAGATGGAAAGCAAGGGAGAATGAGGAGTCCAGGAGGCCTCAAATCTTTTGTGCCTGACTGACAAGGCATGGTGGTAATATTCACAGAAATATGGAAATCAAGAGGAGCTTCCGGACACAATGATGAATTTGCTTTTGGACAGGTTAGAGGTACTTTCCAATATCCCAGTGGAGATGGCACTTACAAATAAGGACCTAGGTTTCAGGAGACAAGTGGAGGCTGCACATATATGATTCTGGATGAGATGGCCAAAGAGAAGAATACAGAAAGAAAAGGGACCTGGTGACAGAAAATTGTAGAAGACTTCTATTTGGCAGCAGGGGAAAGAGGGGCGAGCAGTAAGAGAAGAGATGTCAGAGGAAGAGATCCAGGAGGAGGCAGTGACTCAAATGATGAGGAGGAGAAAGTTACAAGATCAAAGGCGATAATGCCGTGTGCCAAAGAGAAATCAGAGGGTGAAGAATAAAAAACATTGACTGGGCTTTGTGATGACTAGGCATAGATCATCTTCGAAAGAGCAATTTCAGCAGAATGAGACAGGGGGAACCCAGAGTTAGGGTGTAAACAGAAAGTAAGGAAGTGAACACAGCAGGTATAACTATTCATTCAAGAAGGTTGACAGCAAAGGGAAGGCAAGAGGGGAAAAGGAGGATGGCCACTTGAGGATTCAAAGAGGGAAAGTTTCAGGCTAGAATCTGACCATAAGCAGAGGAGAAGGCCCAGTGGAGAGAAAGAGATAAATGATGCTAATAAGATCCCTAATCAATGACTCTTATTCTTTTTTGGTCGCATGGACCACTTGAGAATCTGATACAAGGTCTATATCCTCTCATCAGAAATGCACACACCCAATTATGCACACAGTTTTGGGAGGTCAAGAATGCCCTTGAGGATAATTCTTGTTCTTCATGTGAATCCTCAAGTCATGAGAATTCTAGAGCAACTGTCGCATCGCAGTCTTGGAGGAGGTGGGTGGAGGTGACAGAGAGACTACGGGGAGAGAGATTGAGTTCAGTATGTTTGGCACATGACACAGCAGCTAAAAATAAAACCAGATACTAAAATTTCACAGACAAAATACAAAGTTATAGACAGCATAGAAGAGGCAAACACCATAAGGTATTTGGAAAGAAAATGATAGAAGAATTAAATGTTTCCATTGAAAGTTATTACTTTTCCAGATGCACAAAAATGTTCATTGTAAAACAGATTTACACAGAGACAAGTTGCAAGCAACTTAAATGTCCAACAATAAGATAATGGCAATGGCTATGTAAATTACAGTACTTCATTTAAGTGGACTATGATAAAGCCATTTTATTTTATTTATTTATTTTTTTTGTGAGGAAGATCAGCCCTGAGCTAACATCTGCCAATCCTCCTCTTTTTTTTTTTGCTGAGGAAGACTGGCCCTGGGCTAACATCCATGCCCATCTTCCTCTACTTTATATGGGACACCGCCACAGCATGGTTTGCCAAGCGGTGTGTCAGTGCGCACCC